CGTCGAACTTTGGATCGAGAGTTCGATTCTCGACTTGATCGCTTCTAAACATTTCTTTTTTGTTTCCATCTTTCTTTTTACTGAAATATACTTATTTTTAGTCATGTTTATTTTTTCTGTGGATATTTGTTTCATATTATTTTACACGCAAGTTGGCATTGAATTGATGATCGCTACTTGTTCTTTTTTAGAGTACAAACACTGAAACTGTGCAACATAAATACCACCAAACACTGCTAAATTATGCTAATTCTATTGTTTTCTATTGTTTAATCAACACTATTTTGTAGTAATTAGTGGAAAGTGTTGCACTCATTTAATGTTTGTACTCTATTAGGATTTCATTAGCACTCATTCTGCAATTTTCTCTCAACCTCACACGAATGATCATTTTCTTTCTTATTAAGAAATCCGCACACATTTCTGTCCAGTGCGATTGCATGCAACTGCATGATACGACCTGCCCAGAGCAAGGGAAAAAGTATTGCGCGTACGGTATCTCTAACGTCAAGAATATCACGTGACTATGGAAGAATATCAACTGATACATCGGTATCTTGTGTCACATGTCGCGTCAATATAATCAGCATATGACGTTAAAATGTCGATTGACTAAAAAATAAAAAAAATATTCAACAAGCGGGCTAAAAAGAGTCTGGGACTCTGTATAACGCGCGTTCTACTTCTTGGATATCAGCCCATAGTTACCCAGTAAAAAGACCCTAAACTTAGCCAAGGAACCTAGTTTGAAAATCACAGAAATAGAACTTTATGATCAATCTCAATCTAATCAATCTCTGAAAGAATAGTGTTTGATATTTCTAAAATTCCAAAAAAAATCTTCTGCTTCAAATACTCTTCTTCTTTCATGAAAATATCAAGTTTTCTATGTGAAATATTGATTTTTTTAACCAAAAAAATTGGACCTTTTGGACCAGAAATTCTTGTGGTCATTAGCGACCATTAGCTAGGCAATATCTAGCCGTTCAAAACAGCACAGCAACTTTTTGATTAACTTTATTTGGAAGTGGAATTCTGGCCACAAGAGCCCATAAAATTTGTATCATTAGCAGTAGATGCTCTCTTCAAGAATAAAGAGGTGGAAAGCGGTTTATAAATTGGGAGTGTCTAAACGTCAGGCAGTCTAATTTTTTCTTATAACATCGTCGGAACAACCGTAATTTCAATTAATACAACAGGGAAATGCAATTAAGACCGAAATAATACTGTTCGACAAGTTTCAAACACAAGCACCGACGGCATTTTGAGATTTTCGACTGCCTGACGTTTAGTCCCAGAACTAAACATCAGGCAGCAAATTCTTTTGTGAAAAATCTTCGGAATAACCGTAATTTCAATTAATACAACAAGCGAAATGCACTAAAGACCGAAATAATACTGTTCGACAAGTTTCAAACGCAGTAAGCACGGCATTTTGAGATTTTTCGAGTGCCCGACGTTTAGTCCCAGAACTAAACGTCAGGCAGTCGATGTTTTTTTTTTTTGAAAAATCGTCGGTTCAACCGTAATTTCAATTAATACAACAAGGGAATGCAATAAAGACGGAAATAATACTATTGGACAAGTTTGTATAGTCACAAGCCCCGGTCACAAGCACGGCACTTTGAGATTTTTCGACTGTCTGACGTTTAGTCCCAGAACTAAACGTCAGGCAGTCGATTTTTTTGTGAAAAGTCGTTGTAATTTCAATTAATAGCACAAAAATGGAATAAAGACCGAAATAAGGGTCTAGTCAAAAGTTAGCAGGAGGTTGGTACTGGGAATAGGGTGACCAATGGGGAAGTGGAATTTTCTAACCCTACTGATATTAGACAGGCAAAATATCGTGACCTTCCTCGTCCCCTTCAACCACCATCATTGTCCACAATTAGCATCCAGTGAATTAGTGGTGCAGGGCCTATAATTGAACCATTCTTTCATCTTCATTTTCAAGGGATAAGGATTAGGATATTTGATAGGCAGTTGATTAGGACATTTGATTCATCTATTCTAAGTATTGCTTACTTTATACATTTGATATACTTTGTTTGTCTTAATGTTGTTGTGGCTATTGAACAAAATAAAACACTTTCTTTATCTATTTATACTGTGAACCAATTATTATTATTATTAACTGCCTATCAAACATCCTAATAATTATCACTTCATTCAAAATGAAGAAACAATGGTCAAATTATAGTTCCTGCACTATCTTTCACTGGCTGCTTGGGGGCAATGATAAATTGTTGTGGTAATGGTTGAAGGGGGATGGTCTGATACAGAGAGGGTTAGTAAATTTCACTTCATCCACAACTCTGGTATGTCATCACCTTATTCTTCAGTACCCAGTTTTCAATTTCCACCTTCCCTTCTCACTGCTGATTTCTGACAAGACCCTTATTTCGGTCTTTATTCCATTTCTCTTGTGCTATTAAGACTTTTCACACGAAAAATTCGACTGCCTGACGTTTAGTTCTGGGACTAAACGTCAGGCAGTCGAAAAACCTCAAAGTGCCGTGCTTGTGACCGGGGCTTGTGACTATACAACAATACAAACTTGGCCAATAGTATTATTTCGGTCTTTAGTGCATTCCCTTGTTGTATTAATTGAAATTACGGTTGAACCGACGATTTTTCACAACAAAAATCGACTGCCTGACGTTTAGTTCTGGGACTAAACGTCAGGCAGTTGGCAGTCGAAAATCTCAAAATGCCGTGCTTGTGTTTGAAGTCTTTGAAACTTGTCGAACAGTATTATTTCGGTCTTAATTGCATTTCCCTTGTTGTATTAATTGAAATTACGGTTGTTCCGACGACCCGATGTTATAAGAAAAAATTAGACTGCCTGACGTTTAGTCCTGGGAATAAACGTCAGGCTGCCTGACGTTTAGACACTCCGTTTGACTCCGTTATAAATTTGCGACGAAAATAATCAATTTGTTTGAATACGATGTACCGTGGTTCCAGTCACTTGGCCTCTATGGCTCCTTGCATATTTTTGTTTCCGAAAAAATTGTTTTAAAGTAAGTGAAAACTCATTCTCGTGTCTTCAGGGCTGCAAACTAAAATAACTATTTCAAAATATTTAAAAAAATCGATTTACGGAAACGTTCGCTCTACGTAACAATTCTATTTTAAACCAGACCATAATTAAAGACTCGTGTCATTATGTTTGATTGCAATACCAAGCATAAAGGTCTATCAACAACCTAAATGTAAATGAGGGTATGGTCAA